TTCAAATGCAATACAGTTTCAGTAAGTTTTTCAGCATTCAGGTGTAGTTTGGTTGTTTTCTATCAAAGGTAGGGAGAGAGAAAAAAAAAAGAATCTGGAGACAGTTCTGTGAATGCCTATCTGTGGCTGTGGCTTGCCTGTCCGCTGCTGTCAGCCTGCTGTTGCTGGAGGCATTATTTATGCAGATCTCGGGGGTGAGCTTAACACTCACCTGGCCCTGCAGATTTGTTTACTCAGAGTTCTCCTGTGCGCCAGCCCCTGCTACAAGCTTTCCCCTTTCCAAGCACACTGGGGGAGGTGACACTGCACCCGCTTTCTCTGGGCTGCGTGTTTGTTTACAGTTCATGTGGGAAGTGGGTCTTCCCCCCTCTCCTGTGGAGTTTTCCTCCCACTGCCGCTTTTACAAGCTTTCCCTCCTGATTGCTGGGTGTGTGCTCCTGTTCCTGCCGGAGCCTCTCTGGCCAGGCCTGGCTTGTTTATTTACAGTTCCGGGAAGGAGTCCCCTCCCCCCTCTTCGGCACTCACGGCGCCCCACCCTCTTTGCAACATGTCTTTATTGTTCTTATTGCTTATTACTCAGTTTCTCTTTTTTCCCTGGGCGGAGGTCGGTCTGTCCAGGGGGCTATGCTGATCTGGCCTAGGCTTGTCTGTGGGAGTACCATGTACCGCTTAGCTCACCTTGTCTGCGTCTTCCCAAGCCGTCTGGGAATGGGCGACTGGCGGCCCGGGGGCCCTCCTGGTTTCTCCGTTTAACGTGAAGTGGAGATGCTCTGTGCTGGCTGGAGGTGTGGAAGAGTCAAAAGTTTTGCCTCTTCTCTGTGGTTTTGCCTGCAAGGTGTGTCTCCAGAGTCTCTCCAAGATTTCACATAGGAGGCATGCTTTCTGCTTCCTCCCTGTAGCCGCCCATCTTGGAATTCCCCCCAGTCATGTGTTTTAAGTGACTATAAAATTTTGGCCATCCAAGCACCAGATGACCTATCCTATCTTGAGTTTTGGTGGTCTACAGATACCATCTGTTCTAGTCATTAAACCTCCCAGCAACTAGCTCTCACTCCCTGAGTGTGTCCCTCCTTCCAAGGTGACTGATCTTTCAGGAATAGTCGTGGTTACAGTCCTTTCCCCATATTAAGCTCCATACCATTTTGCCAAATGTTCTGGGAAACAAACACAGGGAAATCACTTAGCACAGGGTAGCATTCTCACAGGTACATGTATACATGTACTCTCTTGGCATTTTATAGCAAGCTATGCTTGACTAGACATACCTCAGTGTACTTCATAGCTGTGTTCTGGCAGAAGGACCCCATTTCTCCCAATGTTCATTCTTTTTATTGGGCAAGAACAATGCTCACCTTCTGGGGATGGGTATGGCACACATTTTAATCTCAAGTTCAGGCATTGAGAAGTTTGGATGTTTAGGAGAATGCTAGGTACTAACTGCCTAGTACCTAGACACTTTAGCCTTCCAGTTGGACAAAATTCAGGAGGACCCTCTCTCCCCCAGGGAGAGGAACGTTGTTACCCAGCTGGCCTTGGTCAGCACCTTTGGAGAGCTCCTGTGGCTGTTCATCAGTTTGTCCCTCTACCCTAACTGATTTACATGATATTCTCTCACCTCTGAGCCTTTGCACATGCTGCTTCCATCCTCTGGGCAAGATTAGCACTATCTTCCATGGCTGTTCAGGTGTCACTTCTACTGAGGATCCTTATCTGATCTTCTTCCTCAGGGAACTTCCCCCTCCTCTCTCTTTGTGCTTGCTTTACCCTTTAAAGCAGTGACACTCATTGTTTCACTTGTTTCCCTGAGTCCCAGGTAGACTTCAGTCTCATTAAGGGCAGGGAATTTGTCCTGTTCAGCACTACTGGGGAACCAGACATTCAGGATGAGCACAAGTTGGGAGAAATAAAAGAATCCTTGTTTCTCAGTCATATGTTTCTTGACCAAGACTTCCATTGCAATATCTCTTGCCTCTAGAACAAAAGGCAGAGGTTCAGGAAGTCAAAACCACATGCTATCCCAGTGTGAAATTATATTATAAGACTCAACTAGGGAGAGAAAACACCTTGCTGCCAGCCTACCCTATCCCAGCCAGTCTTTAGTATTATGATCTCTGCCAGTTCCTGTTACTGTCAATCACCACATGCCAGCACTGTGTCGGTTTTTTGCATAGTCATGGCAGATCCTTGAAAAGAGCCCCTTTGAAACATTTTTTTTTTCATTTTTTAACCTTCTCCTCTTCCTTTCTTTTTCCCCTCCCTCCCTCCCTCCCTGCCTGCCTTCCTTCCTTCCTTTTCTCTCCCTGTCTCCCTCCATCCCTCCAAGGATTAAAACCAGACCACACCTCCAGTTCCAAAGCCACCATTCTTAACCATTGTTGTAAAGATGAGAACCAGACTTGGAATTCAGGTAACTTGTCCAGAGGTCATATAGCTACTATGTAAGTGGCAGTGGCAGTGTGAAAATGCTGATATCTGACATGTCTTCACTGCTTCCTGTCCCTAGTAAGAAGAATAGTGTGCACATGTTTTTTTAAATAAAATTTTCTTCTAGTTAATGAAAACACAGCTCTCTTTAAATTAACCAGGAACAATGTTCTCCTTGAACTACTATGTGAGTGTCTTTGTTTTAGCATTTGTCTCCCCTACTCTGATCATGAGATGGAAAAGGAGAAATAGACTCCAAAACAGAGCTCACCTAGCTATAAGCACTTGCTTCACTGTATTGTCTAAGTAGAGCTTATTCCATGTAAAATTTTGGAGTAGTAAGAGTAATGTTTTTAATTGCCTATTCTTTTCTGTATAACCTTTTCTTGCAGTTAACATCTAAGAGACCTAGCCCTTTGGAAAATGCCATAAAATAAATTAATTTTTCCTGGGTACTCTTGTTTCTGTATGTAAAGGTTTCTTCTTGGCTTTTCTTTTCATCTGACTGTTCCTCTAATATGATAGCATAAGTCTTTCGCCAAAGTGTGCAGCCATCTGCACATCCTTCTATGACAGACATCCCAGGTATAGGGTGTGAATGTTCAAGGCAGAAGTACCAAGGCTTCCACTGTTTTCATTCACCCCCACATCCCTTGCAGTATTTTGTGGTGAGGCCCATCACCACCATGCTAGGGAATCATTGGGTGTTCACACAGAGGAGAAAGAGAAAAAGACAAGAATTGCCAAAACAAGCAAGTTTTTCCTATTCTTCCCTCTGTCTGAGAAATGTTCCCCTCCTTTCCCCATCGCCTGATACAAGGCATGATACCTGCCAAAGAAAGCTTTCTCCTTCCTCTTCAGACACAGGCTTATTTGTGAGCCCTTCTCCCTGGTATCCCCATGAGTGTAAATTTGTATATGTGGTGTTTTATTTTGTATTTATTTTCCCAGCCCATTGAAAATAGGGCCTTTTCCTATTAAAAATAAATTCTGGAAGTAAATCGCTTTTTCCTCTTTGAGCTCAGCCCTTCCTCTGTATAAACCTTCAGTTGTTTTCAGAAAAGATTGTGCAAGGGCCAGTGGAGTGGCTTAAGCAGTAAGAGCACCTGCCTTGCAGGCATGAGGGCATGAGGCCCCGAGTTCAAACCCCAGTGCTGGGGAAAAAAAAAAAAAAGACTCTACAGACTTGTCCAAGAACACCACTCACATACTTCTCTTCAGTAGGCATTTCTCTTACAAGTTAACAGCAATAAAAATACTGTCCATGTAGCAACTGTTAAATCTGAGTAAACAGAGGCCCTTAACAAGTAATACTGTTGTGTGAGTCAGTTAGTCCAGTGGAGTGTTGGTATTGTCTCCAGTGTGGGAAAAGGGATGGAATTATACTGCAGCCGCAGGCAGAGGGATTGTGGGTAGTTCTCTGACTCTCACAGTCAGGTCTCAAAAAAGAAATAGGCACTCATGTAGTTTTATAAATATTTTCTACAGCATATTTTCAGGTATCTGCTATCCTGTTAAATAATCTTAATATTTAGACATTTTTTTCTGTTTACAGCCCTTTACAAATAGAAATGGATTTCCCCAGGTCTGTCATAGAACACAATGGAAGCATGTATTTTCTTTTCATACATGTGTTTAAATAGCTGTAGTTATTATTTACATTTCTCCCCATAATGTACTCAATCAAGACATTTTATAGGCTTTTATCCAACATGAGAAGCTCAAAAGGCAATAATAAAAGCAAGTGCCTATAAGCCCTTTGGTGAATGTACCATAATTTCAGCAGAGATTATTTTTCCAGAAATGGGAAATTTATAAAACTTTAAGTTTTATACTTTTTTTTTAACCAAAAGTGCTAAAGCAGCAATGACAACTCAAGATGCTTTGCTTTCTCAAAAACTGTGGAGACTGCTATAGCCATTTTTTGCAATATATGGAAAGAAAACAAAAACTCTGAACTTTTAAGGGTAATGTTTTTGTTTGTCATAATTACCTGTTATGGACATTGCTAGAGTTATGCAATGCTTCATCTTTGTTTACTTAATTTTACAAGATATTAAAATACTAAAAAACCTCATGAATAAGACTTAAAAAGGTTAGAATTCTTTCCCTACATGAGGTTGTTATCAAACTTAAATTTGACAGTATAGACCTTAGTAGAATGATTCTCTTGGCCTATGGTAATACTGCTTCTTTCTCCCTCACCAGCCTCTTCTCCCTAATAATCCATAACCTGATGAGCATCAGAAACAGGGCAATTTTTCCATTTTAAAACAAAGCCTTTATTACTTTTTTTTAGTTTCAAATTGCAATGTGGATTCTGTTGGTTTTCCTCTTTGGCCAAGATCGAGTTGCAATTCTATGTGTATGTATATTCATGTAAGTATTTAATGAATATATAGATAGGTATTTACTCCACAAATATAACTTGCTATCCTCTTTAATTTCCCCCACCCACCGTAATTCCAAGATTTAAAAGTCCCTAGTAATTGAATTTCATATCATTATTATTAATAACTGTAAGGGAACTTGAATGAGAAAACAGATAATAATCTAACAGACTAAATGTCAGTAAGAACCCTCTGATTTTGAAAGGTATAAAAGATGATGGAGGAGGTACTGACAGAGAATAATACACTGGGTTAATGCTTTGGGACTGAGATTTGCTAATTAAATATCATGGGAATTTTGGAGACTATAATCTGTATGTCTAGAAAGTAGAGAGGTTTTATTTTCAGATTTCCTAACATGGCTCCCTAATTATTCTAATTATTTAGGATAAAACTAAATACTGTAAATTACAACTTTTGTAGTATCTAAATATTTTCTGTTAACTGTTTCAATTTATAATCAAAACAACTATATATTCACTATGACAGCCTCTGAACATTGAGCAGGGGTATGTGTTTCCTCTAGCACTATAGACATTTTCCCTGATTTTAAATGAATTTGCCCTAAATTTTTGAGTGAGTTGGTATCTGAAGCATTAAAATCTGCTAGGTTATCCCTAGAGACTTGAGTGGAGACATATTTAATAGTTTTAGATGCGTTAATTGCATAGCTTATTTATATTTGTTGTTGTACCACAGTGCTGTCATTACTCAGAGCCTAAACTCCAATCAGATTCTAATTTATTTGATCATGAACCATATAACCTAATGGGAAACTTGGCCTAATGTATTTTGTGAAATGTCTTAAGAAAACTGACTATGTCCACATTAAACAAAATAAAACTAATTCCATATACTTTCAAGCATTAAAAAATGCCTAGAAGAAATACTAGTTTTAAAGTATAGACCAAGATCAAATTATAGTTGTAGGGTCATAGATAATGTATGTGTCCAAATAAATGTGTAAGTTTGTGTGTTTTTGTATGTATTTAATGCATGTATAGATATGTATATGCCCCATGAATATAAATTTAACTAACGCACAAAGATTGAAAGGAGACACCCAAAATATGATTTCCTTATAAATATTTGCAGGAATTTTACTTAATTGCAACCAGAAGTCTGACCTAGAAGTGTAGCATTTTGACTCCCTAGCTGTCTGGTTTCCTACTTGCGGTATTTTTCTCTCCCCCAACTGTGAGAAAAATGTATTTTACATGGTTTTAACTTTGTGTATACTTAGAAACACTGAAGTAAAAAATATTCCCTTGGGGAAGAAAGAAATTCTCGTTATTTACAAGAATGACTTATACAAGTTTTCTCTTAAATACAAAACATTTTTTAAACACTTACCAAATCTTTATGTATTTGCAAGTAAAACAGCCTCTGAGTTTCCCTTTAAGGTACTGTGCACTTTGAGAAGACCTGATTTTTACACTGTGTAAGCTTATCCTTACTCTAATAAAATACATTGTAATGAAAAAGTATAGAGTTTATAAATAATCCTCTTATGAGGAGACTTTACCATCTCCCCCAACCCATTTTTAACTTAACTGCATTTTTTTCTAGCCTTTTAGAAAGGTAAAAAGTAGGCCAAATAAACTTTGGGTCACTGAAGTGGTATATAGGATTTTGATGACTGTAAGACCCCAATGAAATTCAATTAGGATAATTTTTGGGCTACTGTTACAGAATTAAAGCATCCATGCGTCAAATGCTTGTAAGCACATTTGCTTTATGTGTCTAGTTAAATGATGGAGAACATTGTTTCCATGTAGCCTCTTTTAGTTAAGCAGTGTGACTGATCAATCAATCGTATATCCCATTTTCAAAAGGCTCAGGTGTTTTCATTGAGAGGAAATCATCATTATTCTTAATTGTTTGTTTCAGAGATATAAGGAAAAGGAACACTGACAGTGTCCTTCACTTAACTGAAGAATATTTTCTTCCCATTCTTTTTTGAAATAACAGCTTTATTGAGATGTAGTTCACATATCATTTGCCCATTTAAAATATTTAGTGGCTTTTAAAAAAATATCTAAGGCTTTTTATGTTCACACAGTTGGACTATCACCAGAATCAATTTTAGAACATTTTTATCACTTCAGAAAGAAACCCTGTCCCCATTAGCAGTTATTCTCATTTTTCACTAATGCCTTTCTCACCCCCAGCATAACCACAGTTTACTTTCTGTGGCTATAGATGTTCCTGTTCTAGGCATTTCATGTAAATGGAATCATACACTATGTGATTCTTTGTAACTGGCTTATTTTATTCAGCACGATGTTTTCAACTCATGTTGTATATATCAGTAGTACTTCTTTTATTTTTATCGCTAAATAGCATTCCACTTTATGGATATATCACATTTTGTTTATCTGCTCATCAGTTAGTGAAAATTTGATTTGCCACTTTTGGGCTATTATGTTTCATGGGGTAGGCACAGTGTGGAGGATTGTGCTCAGGGTCTCAATGCATGCTTCCTCTACTACTTAGCTATATCCCAGTCCTGGACTATTATGAGCATTTGTATATAGAGCTGGGGGCTTGTTTGTTTGTTTTAAGACAGGGTCTCTCTACCTAGCCTGGCCTGGACCTCACTATGTAGCCCAGATTGGCCTCAAACTCTCAATCCTCCTTCCTTATCCTGTGAGTGCTGGGATTACAGGTATATGGCACCATGTACCATTTTGTGTGTAGGTTTTTGAGTGGAGATATATTTTCATTTATCGTGGGTCTGACAGGAGTGAAATCTTTGGGTTATTTTGTTTTTATATGGTTAACCTATTGAGGACCTTCTAGAATATTTTTCAAGTGGCTGCACCATTTTATATCCTAACCATAATGTGTGAGGGTTCTGTTTTTCTCCACCAGCACTTTTTATTGTTTGTCATTTTGATTATAGCCATCCTAGTGGATGTGAAATGTTTTCTCCTTGTGGTTTAGATTTCCATTTCCCTGATGCTTATTGATGCTTATCATTTATTCAACTATCTTTTGGCTATTTATGTTTTATTTAGAAAACAGATAGTTTGTCATTTTAATTAGGTTATTCATCTTTCTATTATTGAGTTATAGGGGTTATTTGTATATTATACAGTCCTTTGTCAGATAGACATTTCTCCTTTTCTGTGGATTGTCTTCTCACTCTTCATCGTATATTTTGAAACACAGAAGTTTTAATTTTTTATTGTTTTTGTGATACTGGGGTTTGAACTCAGGGCCTCATGCTTGCTAGGCAGGCGCCCTACCACTTGAGGTAGGGTCTTGCCAACTATTTGCCTCAACTGACTTTGAACCACAATCTTCCTGATCTCTGCTTCCTGAGTAGCTAGGAATACAGGCATGAGCTTTTGTTGTCACATCTAAGCAATCATTGCCTAATCCAAACTCATGAGGATTTATACCTATTTTTTCTAAGAGTTTTATAGATTTAACTCTGATACCTAGGTCTTTGTTCTATTTTGAGTTAATTTTGTACATAGTGTGAGGTAGATTTCTGATCTCCTACTTTTGCGTGTAGATGTGCAGGTGTCCCAGCACAATGTGTTGAAAAGATTATGCTATCTTCTTTTAATTTTCTTGGCTCTTTTGTTGAAAAGCAAGTGACAGTAAATGTTGAGTCTTATTTCTGGATTCTCAATTCTATTTCTACATGTCTGTCCTTATGCTAATATTATACTGCCTTAATCACTGTAGCTTTGTAGAATAACGTTGAAAGCATGTGTCTTTTTTTTTCTTTGTAGCAGGGTCAAAACTGGCATTTTCTGCTTAGCCTCAAAGTCTATTTTAACCTAATAACCTAATAAGCAAACATAATTTTAAATTGTTGTAAACACATGATTTTAATAAGAATAAACTACAATTGGCATAATTTTGAATTGTTATACACACCTGATTTTAATAGTTAATAAAGTACTATTGCTTTTTCCGAAATTTTTTCTAGGGTCTTAGATTAAACACTTTCATAAATTTTTTAACTCTTAATTATTCCACTTCTGCCAAAGAAAAAGCAATCTTCATTGTAGTCAAAGTCTTCCTATCCATAACTGTAAGGTGTGAGTGGGGAAAGAACGTTCTGGATATCCATAACACTCATTTAAAATTAAATGAATTAAAGAATCCCTAGTTGCTTTACTTTTTCCTCAATAGTGTGCTTACTTGAGGCTTTAGGAAGATGAAAGCTTTCCAGTCACCCACCAGATCATTTTTGTTAATGTTTCCTTTGACTTATCTATTTAGACATTCTAAAGATTTTAGTTATAATTCACAACATAATAAAGGATAATTTTGCATTCCTTTTTAAATATTATTTTTAGAGTTAGTAAATTACCTATACAAGCAGCTTTAATGGTGACTTACACTCTGAGACTTTCGAAGACAGATTGTATTAACAACTTACTTAAAAGAAAAAAAATGCATCATCTTTAAAGCTCTTGAATATTTTCATCAAATGATATGTATTTTCAAAAAAAACTCCAAAAAGTACTTACTTCATTTTTTAAACTTATCAGAAATTTCAAATGTATGCAAAAATAGAATTGTTTGATGAACCCTGACCTCACCCATATCACATTTTCAACATATAGTCAGTATTATTTCATTTATGCCCTTGCCTACTTTTTCCTTCTCTTCCTTCAGACTGTTTTAAAGTAAAACTTGGTACACTTTGTATATAAATGATTCAGCATTAGTGGCTATAAAACAAGAACATTTTAATGATCAAAGTGCCATTAAAGACCTGGAAATTCTTAATGTCATCACATATTTTGCCTGTTTTCAAATTTCTGTGAATGTCTTAATTTTTTGAAAATTGGATTGTTCAAATCAAGATCTTAATAAGATTAATCCAGACATTCATTGTCCTTTATTGATTCTCCTTACCATAAATGAACATCTCTTAACCTACAGCAACTCTCCTCCCAGTATTCTTCTATTTAGTTATTGCAGAAACTGGGTGAAATGTCCATCCTCTGGAGTTCCCCGCGTTTGAATTTGGCTGGCCGACTGTATATGGTGGTATTGGCATATTCTTTGAGCCACTGTACTATTTGTAAACTGGTCGTTAGATCCATAGACTTGGTGGATCTAATCTTTAGGTCCTTCATGGATGGTGGGGTTTTTTCCATGTGCAAGAATACTGAGTAGCAGGTAGGATATATCTTCTCTTGCATTTTGCCCAGCAACGTGTAATTTCTGTTTTGT